GAACCTTTGACTGCAGAGCATCGGTCAGTACGAGGGAGCATGGTGTGAAACAGAGTTCTGTGCCCAGGGCTTGTGGACACAGTCCTTCTCTGTCTTGGTCTTAGAAGGGTTTGGAGAGGTTGCAGAGTAGAGGCATTGGGATGACAGCATGGTCAGTCAGGAAGGTCTCTGGGAAAAAAGTAAAAAAGCTCGAATTTTGGACAAGGACTCGTATCTGGGGGGTGAAAATCAGCCCTCAGGTCCTGCTGTGTGTGCTGTGGGGGTGTCCTGGGAAAGGCAGATGAGAGAGTGTTCTATCATTTCTACACAGGTGAAGAGTTCTGCAGAGGTAAAGGGGTGGGAAAGAACCAGTCTCTATGGTGGAGCAAGAGCATTTTCTTATGCGTGGTAACCAGCTGTTCTCAGAATCAAAACAGGCAGCTCTGGGAAAGGAGGCGAAAACTTCACTGAGATAACGTATTGGAGTAAATTTATAAATCCACATAGTTGGAAGTATGATTTGACATTTATAAGAAACAATTTTATATCCTAATCATTATATCTCAGTTTGCTTAAACACCTCTACTAACCTGTAAGACAAATGAAAGGATTTAGGAGGTTCTGTTTAATTAACCTTTTAGTAAGAAAATAAATGCAGTTTTGCATAAACTAAACTATTATGCTTGCTTTTATATTCCATACTGCCCTAAAATCATGGAGAAGACCTATAATTATTTTAAGATAAATTTCTCGAAACAATTTAATTTGTCCAATTGTTTACCTTGATAAAGAATATTAAGCGAATTTGGATTAAAAATATTATCCTGTCTTTATTTTACCAAGTAATAGTAATATCCTTTTAAAGACACACAGAAGGTTTCTAAAGGTCTTTTTGTGGTTACTAGTTATTGGCCTAATACAAATTTGATTTCTTTTTTCTTTATCTTGTAACTAAAAGCAAGAATACTCAAATCATTAAACTCGCTGCAATTTTCCACTTTCTCATTCAAAAATGCCTTAAAGAGAGAAATGGTTTATATTAGAAAAAAAGGAATACTGTTTAAATTTTTATTAATAATTTAGTAGTTTTGTGGTTATTTATTCATATTTTATTTTATTACTGTTT